ACCATAAGGGCTAAATGTAAATGATTTTTTTTAAATAATTATAAAAAAATACTTCCTGCAAAGACCTAATTGAGCATTAGAACAAAAAATATGCATTTTTTTTTTCTATACGGTGGTATCAATAATGCCCATTTGCACAGTCCAATTTTGTATTACCTCCGGAATAAGGGTTAGCTTTTATCCCTGAAAAATTCAGCTTGTGACACCGAAGTGGGAGGCAAAGTCAAAATAAGTTTTAATCTACACCATACTATATGCCTATTTTATTATTCTCGTTTTGTTTACAAAATTATTTACATATATTTAAAAAGCTAAAATAATTCAACCTATTGGGGGTGGGTTGGCTCAGTGGTTAGAGTCATGACTTTGAGATCGGAAGGTCTCAGGATCGAATCCCACCGTTGGCCGGAATTTTTTCATTTAATTTAATTATTTAAAATTAATTCTGATGCCTTGGTAGGATTCCCCACTCAACCATTCACTGTTGGGTTCTAATTAACAGTGCTGTTCCTAAAGTGGCGCTGGGAAACAGTAACAAAGCCTACACAGAACACGAGGCTAATGGCCGTAGTAGTCGACGCCTATGACACCAATTAAAAAAAAAAAAAAAAATTCAACCTATTTTATTGCAACTGAACTCAAAACATTTTTAATATTAGTTATATTAAATGTAACTAAATTAGATATAATTTCACTAAATTAGATGTAATAATTTACAATAAATTCCAAAACCTAGTAATGTTAGATTGGAAGTGGCACCAGAGCTTACACCGGCATGAATATCTACGTTGTTTATTATAAGCGCACATCGCTTACACATTTATTCATTGATAAAATAAAGTTGTATCTGCGTAAAAACCTTCTCTTTATCCTCTCTTTTACTTCTCACCTTTCGTCGCCCGCCCCGCGTCTAGAAATATAATGTATCGATTGTCGAATTAATGTTGGCATCGTGAATGTTGTATTTTATCAATGACTGCTTATATCACTGTTATCTCTGGTAGCAACTGAACTGCCTTGTTTGTATTAGCTATGTTTGGGATTGAAATTATTGTTGATGTTTTAAATCTCTGTGGAACAATACCCTTATCTAAACTAGTATTTATTAAGTTAAGTAATGAATAACCAAGTACATAAAATAGATTCTTAATAATATCAAGACCTATCTCGTCTGTACTAAACTTCTTTTCTTTTTGAGTTTTAATTGCTTCATACAAATTGGTTAGGGTAACTGTTCTAAATGTCGTCATTGATGATGTTGAAGGGAACTGTTTCCAAGCAAGCTTCAAAGTCATCATCACTTATATCAATAGTTAATACAATATTCTGAATGTTACCTACGTAATATTGATTTAAAACATCAGCAAAACTGTCATTATATTCTGTCCCTTCGCACACCAAACTATTAATGTAGTTTGTCGAATTTTTTGGATTTCCCTTGTTTTTATCTATATTTCATAAAAATTACGTTTGAGGGAAATCAAGCACCGACCACATTCATTTCTTTTTAGTTTAAACTTCTTCCAATCATCTGCCTCATTTGTAAATGTAAATATTTTTATCTGTAACGGCTTTTCTACATTTATTGTCAAACCACTTGCATTTAAATGCTTTTAAATCTAAGTTAATTTTATTTTCGAATACCAACTCACGTTCAAGCATAAAAAGTAATATGTACTTGAATATATTTTGTAGGAGCTATAAAATTATAGAATATCCTCAATCCCTTTCAATCAAGATGTTGACCCTTTTATTATAATTTATATTCATACAAATATTTTTAGTTTCCTCTAAATTAATATTTAAGTTTTGAATTTTGATTTGTATAATAAAATGAACCGATATTATGTAATTTTTTTTACAGAAGCAGTTGAAGTAAAATGGTTGTTAGTTAACACGAGGTCAATTGTTGACTTAGCATCCTTATATTCTCTAGTAAATTCAGTAATCCCATTGTTTTCAATATATTCTTGGTGTTTTCTTTTTTCTTGACAATTTTTATCAAAATGAATGTTGAAATCTCCTGTTATAATTACACTACATCTACTATGCAATTCTACATATTCATTTATACATTCTGAAAAGGATTAAAAGAGTAGGGCAATGTTAGCGTTGAGGAACCTATAAACACTTGCTACACCGTATCTATTACCATTAACTCTAACTTCTATAGATAACGAGCAAAGATTTATATTAGTGATTAAAGTTGTTATATTCAACACTTTTAAAAATATTTTGGTAAATATTAAAAGTCTCCCGTTGTGTCGACTATTTATAGTTATACCCATTAATCCATAATTCAGAATCCTCGAAGTCACTAGTTATACAACTTTTAGTTAAACAGACGATTAAGGGTTGATATTTTGATGTATATAATATTATTTCATCTTTGTGTTTAAAGTAGCTTTCGGCATTTATGTAGGTTAGAAATAAATTATGTTTGATAATATTTAAGCTATTCTTTGGTTGTTATTGATAATTAACTCTTTCTTTAACTTTAAAAATTTGTTTTATATAACTTAAACATTTAGTATCAAATACGTGGTCATCAATATTAATGTTTTTTATTTTCAATATATCTGTGCATTCGTATTTACTGACATTGCAGTCATCTAGATTGTGATTTCTATTGCACAAAAGACACTGCTTGAGATTCAGATTTTCCCGCACGATGTCCATACTTCCAACAATTAAAGCACCTCATCACACGGACGAACTCAAAAAATCTATTCTATATACACACATAGCCAAAATTCTTGGACCCACTTATGTTTGTCAAAATGAGACATTATTATTATAAGTCAAGAACTGTATTACATAATACATTTAATTTGATTATGTATCCAATGCAAATGGGCTAAATTAAATTTTAAGTGAACAAGAAAAAAAAATACAAACGAAAAATAGTGCATAATAAAATGATTAACAGAATTTGAAATCACTTTAGAGCGAAATAAAAAATGCCTTAATATTCAATGTGTCCTTCCCTGTTCTGTAGTAAGGTGTTGCGTGACAACCGTGACGATAGAGCATTTTTATTTAAATCCGGTTCCTCTGCGGCTTTTAAAAAGCGTGGCATTTGCATAAAAAGCGTACAAGCAAGTCAAAAAGCGTGGCAAATACGCCAAAAGCGTGACGTCTGGCAACCCTAGCGTTAATGGTATCCATTAGGATGTTGTTTTATTCTCCTTGGGCTGCGACTGTGACTTCCTGGAGGGCGACAGGAGGATTAATTCTGTTTGAAATTGCTCATCCAACGAAATCCCACATGTGCTCAATGGGATTCACGTCTGGCGAATTTGTTGGCCACGGTCATCTTTGAATATATTGAATTTGTAGTGCATTTTGTACTCTTCTCGTGCGATGGGGCCTAGCATTGTCATCCATGGAAATAAAATTGGCTCCAATTTCATTTCGCAGAGGATAAATAATGGATTCAATATTCAATAATGTTTCAAACATATCCATCCCCTTTCATAGTGTGTGGAATGGGAATAAGCTGCATACGACGACCATGCATTATGCCTCCCCAAAACATTACTGTTCCTCCTTGGTATGGAAAGACTTCTCTGGTAGAAAATAGTCTTTCTGGTCACCTTTGCCCTCTTCAAACTCTGTGTCGCCGACTACCACTAATTTAACCAAATCTGATTTTGTCCGAACATTTCGCCACTGAGCTAAAAACCAGTCTGTGTGTTCCTGTGCCCTCCGTAGACGAGCGGCTATATGTCTGGGAAGTAACCTGCGTACTCGCAAATTGGCTCCAGTAAGTCTTTGCCGTATTGTAGTACTGGAAATGAATCCATATGTTCTTCTAAAATGAGTTTGGAGAGCTGAGACTGTTATGGTTTGATTCCGACGTACATAACGAGCTACATACCGATCTTCTCATGCATTAGTAACCTTAGAATAGACCCATCTGGGTTGCAATGGAAGGCGATGAGATCATCCCGCTCATTTTAAACCTAACCTTAGAACGGCCCAGTCCCACGTCTCCAGTCAACGCTGTCAGTTTTCTGGTACAAACGCACTAGTCGGATAACTGAAGCGCGGGGAATCCCTAGTCTATCATGCAAATCCACTATTATTGCTCTATTGAACACTGAAATTCTATTGCCAGGCATAATTGCAAAGAAAAACTCAACAATGCCTTAAACACGCTAAAACGATATGAACCACTTTTTAAACATTGGTATCGAAAATTGTGGGAAATTGTTTTTATAAAAAATTTTAGATGCGTAGCAACTGTAAAATAAATAAAGATTAAATGTACAAAAAAGCAGCCATAAATATTTAATTTTAACATTTACGAGTGGGTCCAAGAATTTTGGCGATGTGTGTATATAGACGATCTTTTTTATTTACTAGATAATTAAACTGTTTGGAATTTAACTTAAGAATGACATTAGAGGTATGTCTTAAGTTTTTAGACATTTTATATTTTCTTACAAATTTAATCCCATCCTTTAAATTATTCGACAAATTATTGTTAATCACTTTTAATCTGAATCCATCAACATCTTGTAACTGTTCTTCATTTACATTTATTACTTTGAAATATTAACTAATTAATTGAAAAAATTTTAGGGGTGGTTTTGGGGTAACTCACCCATATAACTATACAGAACTTTTTTGTCCATCGGCCGATTTTTAATTCATTTTATGCAAAAAAATTATAATTTTTTTTACTGTTTTTATTTTTTAATAACAAATGTATTATAACAATGTTAATACAAAAATCACTTGAAATAAATAATTTACCAAATATATATTTTTTTAAGTTAAACGGTTGCAGAGACATTAAATTTTTTCGTAATTTACGGCCCCATTTTTGGCTTCCGTAACTCCTTAGGGGTACAACTTGGTATAGAGGTGTGTTGCGTTAAAATATCATATTTTAGGGTGCCCAACACGCACATGTTCTGTGTCGGTAATTATGCGGAACACCCTGTATATAGTAAATATTCAATTCAAATAAGCATTGTCTGTTATTTTTTTAGGATAAAACCGTTTGATGTATACATGAACGAACTAAAAATTTTTGGAGTACTTATAAACCCTTTTAGTTTTCCAAAATCTTTGGGTTTGATCGAGGCAATGGGTGATAGGTAAATTAAAGAAAATATCTGTATTTTGTCAATTTAATTTTTTACTCTTCGGTTTTAGGTATTTGAACTATGAGAATCTGGGAATCAAAACTTTTCCATTGAAACAATACAAAGAGGCGATTGAACTGTTGAAGAAGGGAACAATAGCGAAAGCCATTTTTAAGTTTTAAATATAATAATAATGTATATAAACAGAGATAGTTTCAATAAAATGATTGTGTCGAATTCGTTTGGTTTAATCACCAACGTATTGTATTTTTGTTGTCTCGGGGTTATGTTAACGACCTTCTGTCATTCGCAAATATCTGGCAAGAGTTAGAAGTTGTTAAGAGCCCTTAGATATATTTTTTATTCTGCGTCTATCACTTAGGTCTGTTCCAGCAATAGTCAGAAACGGTTACCACTTTATTCGAAAATGGAAAAAGATAAAGGATTTTTAATATTGAAAATATAAAGACAATTCTATAATGGACAATGTATGTGTAAGATGAATTTTGACTATTTTGAGTACGTTGGAACTCAGATTATACATTGTTTGAAATAATGTTGAGGCAGATGACACATTGAATCTAGAAATCATAGAAGTGGGAAGAGATAGAGATAACACACGGTTCATAGACAACACGGTGGGCTCTTCCGTCCGTTGCTAAGGAAGGATGTGACGTCACGGAATGAAACATCGAGCTGAAAGAAAATATTCTGCTGCGGTTCGTACATTAGTTTTTTAAAAAATCTAATACTTTATTAATATTTAGTGATGTTTATATTTTTATTTTTAAACTATATACCTGTGTTGGAGTGTCCACGGAATCGGTAATTTGATTTTTATTAAAAGATAAGCTACAAAACGGCATGGAAAAAACATGTTATGATTTCCATAAAATTTTAAACGAATTACTTTTTATTTGAATTATAAAGAGAAATATTATTGTGTGAGTGGTTTATTTTAAACAATTTGGATTAGGGTACGACCTTTGAGCTGAATTCGGATCACACTTTGTTTATATCCCGAAATACTTTGAAATTTTGGTAAGCCTGAAGCGAGCCGCAGTGTGCCAAACAATTTTTACTTTTTACACACAAAAAATGTTGCAGCTTTGTTCATCTTACATTTAAAGGCAGATGAGATGGTTTCTTACAAACACTAAAAATAACAGAGAGCAAAAAACTTCAAAGGGCTTTACAAAGAGAACATACATTTTTAAAAAAAGGGGTTTGCTACATGGAGTTTTTAGTAATACGTGATATGAGAGGTGATTTTAAATCAGTTACTAGAAATGTGACCGAGTCAAGTGTAATAAAGGTTATTACGTCATAATGACGTTCTATTAATCTGATTTAAAAATGTTTGGTTTATATTGACACTAACTTGACAATGCGCATGGCATTTTCAGATATCGCGAATTTTTGTTTGTGTATACTTAGAATATATAAAGTCAGAAAGGAGGAATCCTTCTGACTCTATATTTATATTCTAAGGTCCATATCTAGGTACTCAGCTAGGGTTGTCAACCGTCCCGATTTTGGCGTAATTGTCCCGCTTTCTAACTTGCTGGCACGCGTTATGCCAAAGCACGAAAATACCCCACATTGCATCTAAATGCTACGCTTTTTAAATCCAAAGTTATAAATAAAGAAATTTTTGACAATGTTTGACCTTTTTTTTTTGAGAAGCTCCTAAGAAAAAGGACCTGATGGGTTTATAAAACTATAAGCGGAGGACCTTTTTTTAGATCTCCACAAGTAAATGAGCTTATTTTATAAAAATACGTGTTTTTTAAACCTGATCCCCTGTTCAGGTGTGTAGATGAGCCTGAAGTAGTAAATCAGAAATAAATAAAAACAATTATTGTAATATAAATGTTCCAAAAAGTAAACACGTTTATTTATATTATTCCGTTTGAATTTAATACTACTCCTATCTATTGAAGTAAATGCTTCAATTTTCTTGGTATCTGCCTTCTACAAAGAATTGTTTTATGATTGATCATGTACCTTTTTACATAAGAACAATAAGCATTTTCCTCAAAATGCTGAGAACAGACATAACAGAGTTTAGCTAAAAATAATTTGATTAATGGTTTGTAAACACTGTTCAAGTTTAGTGCTCACAGGAGTCCTGATAAATAAAATGCATTTAAAATACAACAATAGGAACATAATTAAATAGTCCAGGATCCGTAAGTAAGGTCGACCTTCACCCATCTGTTTAATGGATAAAAGCTTTTTTTTATTAAATAAAATATGTTTTTAAATATACCGCAAATGGGTTGCCTAATAAAATACGGTCAGGGCCATTTTTTGTTTCCTTTCTGTGTACAGATAAGGAAAGTATAGGAATCATAATGAAAGTTTCTTATGATGCCATTCTCTATTATTTTGTCTCTATACATAATTTCCCTAAAATGGACCTACTTCGAGATATTTGAGAAAAACTGCAAATTTCGGGTGTCGTTTTTTTTATTTTAAGAAAATAAATAGTCTGGACCGTATTTTCTTAGGCAAACCTTTTGCGCTATATTTATAAAAATATTTTATTTAATAAAAAGAAACTTTTATCCATTGAACAGATGGGTGAAGGTCGACCTTACTTCGGATCTTAGACTAAAAGTAGTTACTGTTACTTACAAATGGAAACATTTTACATAAAATCACCAAGTAAAGCAAGGTTTTCAAAATATTTATTATTTGTTAATGGTTTTGTAAAGTATAGGCACGGCATAAGAAACAATTGGCAGTCTCACTTGCCGCTGATCGCATACAAATATTATACTAAGAAAATTTGACCTTGGCGACGCCATTCGGGGGTCTTAGTCAGGGTCGGATTAAAGCGTATTTCAAAATTTTGTAATAAAATAAGGTATTGATAGGCAAGATCGTATTAAAACAAAAAAGCTCTACAGATTGCGCCAAATTATTAGCTTGTTTTTATTGATGGTCTTAAAATTTCTATTAATATTTTTAAAGTGTAATATATGAGCAGCCTTAAATATAACTTAGGACCGATTCCACCGTTGTGTTAAACGAAGTTTAAAATGACATTTTTACATTAACAATGTCATTTTAATCTCCGTTTAACACAACGGTGAAATCGACCCTTAATAACATATATTTATGGATATCGGGGACAAGGAGCGTCAAATGTTACCTCGGAATTAATTAAATCTAAAAAAAAAAAATTACAAACGCCGGATTTATTGATAAATAATTCAAAATTGTGTTGAAAAATTATTTCAATTTTTGTTATTAAACATACACAACTATTATTTGACATTTTTAAATTGCCAAAAATATCTCCATTTGCTTTTTTTGTACGCTTTATAATAACAATACATGGATCTTATATTCAAGTCTTCGTATGTTAAGGCAATTGTGTACAATATACATCGCAACGTTGAATTTTAAGACATTTTTTTATTAAAAATCCGCATATATAATAAAATTTTCTTAAAAAATATTAATATTTTGTGCATACAATTCATTAATATGCTTGTGTATATTTACATTTTCGACAATATTGCCACCATTACACGCGATTTTGGAAAATGGCTTATCCTTATTATACCTACGAATTTCATGCAGCCTTACAAGTAAAGCATCCCCACCTGTTTCGCAGTTTTCAGTTATAGAATGTAATAAATTTAAACATTGCAATTTTTTGAACGTCCTTTGAAATTGGACCGATGTAGGGTTTACACAGTTACCATCATGGAGGAAGGATATTCACAGAAATTTGGCAGCATGTTTACCTTCAGCGACCTATGGAATAGTTTTGTGCAATTAATACTCAGTCGGTAATATAGAAAGATGTAATGTTATTTTAGTTTGAAAATTGGCGGGCTTTTGAATTTACTTCGACAAAATATAAGAATTTTACATTTTTAATAGCACTGCTTAAGACACATGATTTTGATTGTATGTGACTCATTACTAATTTACTACTTATAATTTCGTTAATGGCTAATTAAGATTTTCCTGCTTTTTTTAATAAAAATACTTTAGATTTATCAAGATTTGTTATTCGCATATCTAGAATAATTATCAAAATGAATATCAGAATTAAATTTTTGAATATTTGGGAATAATACAATTACGATTAATATTCATTTTTTTCAGAAAAAAAAAAGCATTCCTTACAAAAAATTCTGCTTATTGAAGAAAATTACAAGAAAAAGTTTTATTTTAAAGTTATGAAGGAAAACCGACAGGAAAACTGACTTTTCTTCGTAAAATCTATAGGTAATACAGATTTTTTCCTTTTCAATTTTAAGTTTCGTCATTTATTAAGACCATGTACACCTGACCAAACATATTAATATAGTAAACCTATTTTTTCGTCAAACAAAATTTTTTTATAATGACTTTTTCCTTAAAATAAAAATAAAGATTTTTCCATTTAGTCAACTCCATACGGGAGATGTTTAAAATATAACATTTTACTTTAAATCTTAATAATTTACCTACTAAGTAAATATAAATTGACGCTAAACTTTACGTGACGTTAACTAGGCAACGACCTACATCTTACTAATAGCTTTATAACTGACAAACTGACCCATAACAGAGGATTTTTTTTTAAAGTATACCATACATACCTAATAAGATCTTTAAGAAACCGAAAAAATCTTTTAAAACAGTTTATTGATATAGTTTTTTGCTGCACAACTTTACCCAGATATAGTAAAACACTTAAAAGTTAACAAATTAACACTGGAAAACAACTACTATATAAAAAGTGTCAAAAAATATATATAATTCTAAAAAAATAACAATAACTACATAATACAAACAAAATAAATTTAAGACACACGCTACTGATTCCGAGATGCTGCAACTTGTTTGTTTTTGTCGATATAAACGACGACAGTGACGCCACTGGCTTGATTGAGAGGTTGGACCCCAAAATGGCGGTGTGCGCGTAGCGTTGCCGCCAAGACAAGTTAGCCTGCCGATTGTTTCTTATGCCGTGGTATAGGTTCGTAAATAATATCTTTGGGGACTGACCACATACTTTGATTTTCTTTTACTATACGGATAATGGTCGCACTGCGCAGCTTTCTGAGTGCCTTTTAAAAGGATATAGAAAACTCCGCTATTTTGAACCCTTATTACGTGTTGCCTACATCTTGGCGCAATATTTTTAATAGGTGCGTTTTAATCATCCGCTTCTGCTTCGGAATTGTCGGTTTTCTTGTTTTAATTTGACAGGTTAAAACGACTAAACCGGAAGCAG